CATTGTGGGGACCGTTCAGAGGACCTGGGTCCCCACCGACCGTGCGAACTTGGCTGATAATCTGTCTTCTCCGCAAAAGGAGAACAGGATTGTGTAGCCCAGGACGCGCTCCCAGGACCAGCACCAGGAGAAAGGGAGCCAGCACCTCTGGCTTTCCGCCACGAGGGGGCGCTGCGGCGCTTTGAAATATCTATGGCCCAGGAGGCTCCTAAAAACACACCAGCAGGAAGGAGTTCAGGGAAACAGCCCAGCCAGCCAGGCTCCACCTGGGAGACCTGCCCGACTTCCCTGTGCTGGGCGGCCGCGTGCACATTGCAATTAAGCTTATGGTGTGCACGTGACTCACAAGCCCACTGTTCAGCCTCCGACATTCGTACACAGCTGCTCGGGGCCATATAGAGATCATACATACACACACGTACATACTGTAACATAGATGCTCTGTGTCCATTTTAGCACATGAGCGAGGACTAGTAAATTAACCGAGGCGAACCAGGGAAACCCTGGGTCACGCCTCATCGCTTTAAAAATATAAGGCATCACACTCTGAATAATATTAAAGGCAGTTTCTTAAAATACATTTCATGCCCTGGCTGGTGTTGCTCAGTGGATAGAGCATCGGCCTGCAGACTGAAGGGTCCCGGGTTTGAGTCCGGTCAAGGGCACATGCCTGGGTTGTGGGCTTGATCCCCAGTAGGGGGCGTGCAGGAGGCAGCCGATCGATGATTCTCTCTCATCATTGATGTTTCTCTGTCTCTCTCCCTCTCCCTTCCTCTCTGAAATCAATAAAAAATGTATTAAAAATAAAATACATTCCATTTTCAAACCTGAGCGGTCAGCTGTGGAAGCGTGTTTGCATTTTGGGACACCCTGTATGACACAAGTAGTCCAGGTTCCATGTAGGACAGCGGTTCTCAACCTGTGGGTCGCGACCCCTTTGGGGGTCGAACGACCCTTTCACAGGGGTCGCCTAAGACCATCGGAAAACACATATATAATTACATATTGTTTTGTGATTAATCACTATGCTTTAATTACGTTCAATTTATAACAATGAAAATACATCCTGCATATCAGATATTTACATTACAATTCATAACAGCAGCAAAATTACAGTTATGAAGTAGCAACAAAAATAATTTTATGGTTGGGGGTCACCACAGCATGAGGAGCTGTATTAAGGGTCGCGGCATGAGGAAGGTTGAGAACCACTGATGTAGGAGAATCAGAAAGTGCAGAGCAGCCAGATGATGGTAGTGACCGTCCCCTCCCAGCACGGCTGGTGCAGAGCGGGCGGCCTGTTCCCGTGGCCCCGGGAATCCAGGGAACATCGCGCTGCCGGTGTTAGCCGCCCGCCCTTCACGGCGCTGGGCAAGGCCCGTCTTCCGACCCCCAGGTCTGCGGTGACTCGGTCCCGAGTTCTGTGGTGCACACGCCTCTCCTGCATTTCCTGAAATTGTCTCCGATTGAGGCTGCCTTACCGCCTCCGAGCGCCAGGGGGCAGTCGAGGCCCGGCCATCAGGGTCCCAGCCTGGGACGGCGCAGGCCCCCAGTTCCCTGGGAGGAAAATGGGGAGCAAACGCTGCACGTGCCCCCGTAACGTCTAGAAACCAGGGGGCCGGAAGCAGGTGAGGAAGGTGGTGCAGGAGGCGTGCTTTCTGCTTCCTGGAGGCAGGGGCGGAGGTACACCAGGGCTCTGACTGCCGCCTGCACGATCCAGGGAGTCTCCGAAGAAGCCATCACCAGCCCTTTAAATGACGCAGAGGCTGGGCCGGGTGGCTCAGTGGTTGGGCACCGACCTAGGAACCAGGAGGTCAGGGGTCGATTCCCTGTCAAGGGCACATGCCCGGATTGCAGGCTCGATCTCCAGTAGGGGGTGTGCAGGAGGCAGCCGATCCATGATTCTCTCTCATCCTGATGTTTCTATCTCTCTCTCCCTTCCTCTCTGAGATCAATAAAAAATATTAAAAAAATAAAGTTAATGTTGCTCAACATTGGCGGGACCTGGCTTCATAGTAGCAGACGCACCTTACAGAGATGCCTGGACAGCAGGTGGGTGGCTGCTACGAGGCTGACGTCCCCCAAGGGGCAGGGAGGACTCCACAGAGCAGCTCTCCCAGGCCCAGGAACTCACAGAGTCACGGCAGCGAGAGGCGGTGGACCAATCAGAACGAGGTGAGGGGGGCTCACACGTTCCCCTCAGGAAGGTCCGGGGTGTGGGGGGGTTAGTGGGGGGTAGGAGCTCCGCCCAAGCAGGCGTGGGCTAAGCTCAGGGAATCCGACACTCGACGCCCCACGGCCCAGCCGGCCACGACAGCTGGAAAACACCATGTTGCTCGAGAGAGAACCGCCTTCTAAGGGAACCAGAACCCACTCCTGAGAACACAGTTTTCCGAGACAGTTTTGTGGATATTAAAGTTCTTACTTTTCAATTGAAAGATTGTGGAATTTGGAGTCAGACGCTGATTCACGTTTCAGCTCTGTCCTTGGGCAGATGGCATAGCCTCCACGTGCTTCCGTGTTCCCACCGCGGAAGGCGAGCTCTTCCCAGAGCGTGTTTGGAAAGTCACGGAGAATCCTGGCTGGGTGGCGGGTGCCTGAGTCACCCCAACGCTCCATCTCCCAAACCTGCGCTTGACACGGACTGGCGGGCCCTCCCCAGGAGGCCCAGCTCTCCTCCGCGAGAAGCAGCACCTTCAGCGGCTACTGGCGACCGCTTCGGTGGGCAGTTCCTCCCGCAGGAGACTGGGTCTGTGGCAGACCCTTCCTTCTCATTTTCTTCCGGAAAATGGTTTCTAACCTCAAGTTCACTTTTTAAAAATGTTTTTATTGCCGAAAACCGGTTTGGCTCAGTAGATAGAGCGTCGGCCTGCGGACTGAAAGGTCCCAGGTTCGATTCCGGTCAAGGGCATGTACTTGGGTTGCGGGCACATCCCCAGTAGGAGATGTGCAGGAGGCGGCTGATCGATGTTTCTCTCTCATCGATGTCTCTAACTCTCTATCTCTCTCCCTTCCTCTCTGTAAAAAATCAATAAAATATATTTTAAAAAATGTTTTTATTGATTTCAGAGAGGAAGGGAGAGGGAAAGAGAGAGAGAAACAGCAATGATGAGAGAGAATCATGGATCGGCTGCCTCCTGCACGCCCCCTACTGAGGATCCAGCCCACAACCTGGGCATGTGCCCTTGACCAGAATCGAACCCGGGACCCTTCAGTCCGAAGACCAATGCTCTATCCATTGAGCAAACCTCCTGGTACCTTTGAGGGTAGCCTGCCTACAGATACCCAGGTTTGCAATAACTAACCAATGATGACAAGAGCACGGCCCACATGACCTGTCTTTATTTCGACGGACGTGCAAACACAGTCGCACGTTGGAAAAGCTCTGTTTGGAGAGAGCGCACCCCCTCAGAGGCAGAAGAGCTGCTCTGTCCCTGTTACAGGTGCTGGGCTCCGGGGAGGTCGGCCGATGTTTGTTCTCACCGACTTTTCCCTGTGGCCACAGTAGTCCTTGCCGCTTACCCAGCGTCTGACTGCGAAGGCCTGGGAGTGAAGATGGATGGCTTTGTGAGGAATAAGTAACCACCGTCAGGAGGAAAGCAGGCAGCTGATAAATTAAGTGAATATGGGAGCTGACTGACCACCATCCGTTAGCCACCTGGCACCCGACGGGAGTTCCGTGTGAGAGCGGCAGGGGTCGGGTTGTCTGCCCGGCTGCTGGGATCCCAGAGAACACGGGCTTTGGTCGTGGACCTGCCTTGGGCTCTCGGCTCTGAGCCGGATAAACTCTGCTACTTTAGGCAAAGGAGTGAGTCCCTTGGAGCCTTAATTTCCTTATAAAAATTTTAAAAATGGTTAAGATTTGTTGATGCTTTTAAAAAAATATGTTTTTATTGATTTGAGAGAGGAAGGGAGAGGGAGAGAGAGGAACATCCATGATGAGAGAGAATCATGGATCAGCTGCCTCCTGCACGCCCCCTACTGGGGATTGAACCCACAACCTGGGCACATGCCCTGACCGGGAATCGAACCCTGACCTCCTGGTTCCTAGGTCGACGCTCAAGCACTGAGCCACGGTGGCTGGGGGTGGTTTTTATTTTTAACGATTCTGCCGCGTGGCCTTCCTAAAGAAGAGACGCTCTGGCACGCCAAGCGCACCTGGGTTTGGGGAGGTACACGCGAGTGTGTGTGAGATGGCCCATGTTAGGTGACCCTCCCGGGTGCTGGCCGATGAAGAATAAACGCCAGAATTTCAGGAACCAGAACGCTGAGCCGGAAAGGAAGTATTTTAAACCAGGAAACAGTGATCAATCCGTGTGGGGGAGAAACAACCTCAAACACGTATCCACGAGAAACACACGTTTGTAAAGAGTGCGGTGAGTCTCGTTAGGAGATCGATCCCGGCCCCTCCGGCTCTCTCCTGGCACCCGGGTCGGCACCTCAGCCTCATCTACAGAAGGCGAGACTCCTGAGTCGGAGGGGCCCCAGTCTCCAGGCTGTAGACTTGATTCTGTCAGACACCCAGGGGCCATGCTGAGTTATCGATGCGGATCTAATTCTATTTGGTCTTCCCATCCGCACAGCCTTGTTCTCGCCTCTGAGGTACGTGCCGTTGTAAAATGCAGAATTCCACAACGTTTCGGTGGGTTTCCCCTGAGGGCGATCGCGTCACCGCTAACCACGTGCAACGCTGCCTCT